CTTGCCAATTGGTGTACTGACTGGAGACGGTAGTATGATATCACTCTGAGACTTACATTCCCCCCTCAGTGGTTGGCTACAGCTGATTATGACATTCTCTACTTTAACGCAGGTTCTTCCGCTAATCCTGGTCGGTGATATCCATTCCCAGCGCTTAGTGCAATCATATCAGCATCTATATCGTGCCGACAGCCCTTGACGATATGGAAATACACGTGTAGCATGACCTGAACCCTCAACCTCCCTCTCAGCTCAACTCTATCCACAGTCCCCATATCCTTACCTGTCCTCCCTTATCACTGATTCCGTCCACGCCACTCAGCCCGTCTTCGAACCTCATCAATCTGCTCGTAACATCATGCCTCGTCGCTCAAAACGCCGATATATCAGACTTGAAGGCAAGTTTCTCCACATTACCTTCGGATCAGTGTCATGATACTTAAGCTCTATCTACAGTCATCAGCGGAACGAGTCTTCAAGTCCCCTCCTGGCGCATTCCCGCTGGCATCTACATATCCGTCAATGTCGACTCCCGGAGACGTTGGAAATCGGCCGTCAGTGTCGTATCATCTGATAAATCTGTAGTGTGGAGGAATACTGTAACTCTGTAAAGTTCATGCTGACTTTCTGACGCGATGCGAGAACTGGTTATCTGTTTATAGATCATCACACTCACCTGCATTGTCAGTGGAGATCAGGGCGTCCTTTGAGCTTGGTCGAATGCTAGGGGGTGGAGAGGTCATCGGAGCACTTCAAATGTCGTGGGATGAGCTACTCAATCATGGAGATGAGCCATTCGGTGAGTGATTCGCTTCTCATTTATGCAGATGCACTAACGTCCCGTAGATTTGTCCTTCCCACGCGTGCGTGGTGTCCACCCTTTCGTCAAGTTGAAGGCCGCAGTTGTACATACTTGCGACGGTCAGGACGACGTACTGTTTGATGTGAGTGACGTTATTCTCTGTCCCGTCGACTTTTACTGATAGATTACCAACTGTAGCCCCTTGCAGACCGCGAAATTGCTCGAGACACAGATGCGGGCCACGCGCGATTTGCCAAATACGTGAGACGCAAGACGGTCTCTCACCTGAGCGATGCTATAGATCATTTTCAATTGGTTCTGGACCGATGTCCGGTCGGCCATCCAGACCATGCAATGGCTCTCACCAACCTCGCGTGGGCCCGCCTTCAAGGCTACATCCGAAATGATCTTGAAGACATCGATTTCACCACTTCCCTCTTCCGCGACGCCCTTGCATTGCGTCCGGAGCATCATCCCGATCATCTCTTATCTCTATATAATCTTACCCAAGCGCTGACTTGGCGCCACGACAAGAAAAGTACTGCTGCCGACATCCGCGAAGCGGCCCAACTCTATCATGAACTACTGCCTCTCTGCCCGGAGGGTACCTACTTTCGTAGCATTGCAGCAGGGAAAAATGGTGTCGATCATGCGATCGGCGGATGTAACAACCTTCCAACAGACGCATCCGATGAAGGGATCCACCTTCGAAGAGTCGTGCTCGAGCTCTGTCCTCCGGGTCATCAACTCCGTCCCAGATCCCTCGAGGAGCTTGCACAAGCAGTTGAAACACGCTTTGATCAGCATGGTAGCATCGATGATCTTGACATGAGCATACAACTTGGTCGTGAAGCGGTGTCTCTGTGTCCCGAGGGACATGCTGACCGCGATCACTACTTGGACAACTTGGCCTTTTCGCTCTCGTCCCGCTTTGATCATCAAGGCAAAGCTAATGACCTTGATGAGGCCATCTTTTGGCACGAAGAAGCGCTGCGCTTGCGCCCCGTTGGGCACAAATTTCGTGATTACTCATTGGATAACCTAGGGACCGCCCTCGTCGCCCGTTTCAACACACGCAGTGATATTGATGACATCACCCGAGCTATCAACCTCCACCGCGAGGCATTAACGTTGTGCCCACCTGGGCATCTACATCATGACACCACACTTAACAACCTTTCCCTCGCGCTTCAAACCAGATATGACAAATCACATGTTAGGAGGGATCTTAACGAGGCTATCGACCAGTCTCGCGAATCCCTTCGGTTAACACGGCTTGACCATCCAGAGCGCCATATAACTCTTTTCAATCTGAGCTCGGTGCTCTGCTCTCGTTTCACACAAACTCAGAAGAATGAAGATGTCGAGGAGGCCATTACTCTTTGCCAACAATCATTGGAGGCTTTGCATTCACTGCACCCAGATCGACACTACTCCTATCTCAGGCTACAGGAAGCCTATATGTCTCGTTATCGTGTGCAGCACAAGCCTGCCGATCTGGCACTTGCAGTGGAGAACTTCAGACTCGCATCGCGACACCCCACTCATGGCTTTCCAAACCGCATCATTCAGGCATATAAGTGGGCTGTTGCAGCAGAGCAGCATGGTGATGGATCCGCACTGGAGGCCTACTCGACATTTTTCGAGCTTCTGGATGCTCATTTGGCAACACGATCGTCGGCAACTTCACGGCGGGAAGCTGCTGCTGCCTTCCATTATGCCAGATCACTGCCTGTAGATGCAGCCTCATGTGCTATACGTCGTGATAATTTACCACGAGCAGTTGAACTTGTGGAGCAGGGCCGTGGCCAGCAGTGGTCGCTGGCATCTCGACTCAGGACTCCAGTCGAAGAACTCGAGTCAGCAAAACCGACACTGGCGCGCAATTATTTAGAGCTGAGCAAACGCGTTTCCAATGCAGCCCAGAGTTCTGCAATAATCACCGACAGAGCTGCTGCTGATCGGGAAGCAACAGAGTATAGGATACTTACAAGGCAATGGGAAGCCGCGGTAGCTGAGATACGCGATCTTCCGGCGTTCTCGCGGTTCCTGCTTCCACCTTCATATGAAGACCTCCAAGCGGCTGCGCGCCAGGGCCCGGTCATCATCCTCGTTGCGAGTGAATACTCGTGCAGCGCCATCATCGTCCCGACGTCAGGAGACCCCCATCATGTTCCTTTGCTATCTGTCACCCTTGCAGATCTGACCAATCTCAAGGATCGCTTCACCAGGGCAATACGAGATTCATCTCGGATGAACCCAGGGGAGTGCAGGACAGATCTAATAGTGCTCTCGCGGATAATATGGGACCAGATCATGCTACCCATTGTCAACGTGCTCGAGCACGTCCTCAAACTAAAGCGCCGATCTCGAATCTGGCTGTGTCCGACTGCAGCTTTCACGTCCATTCCTCTCCATGCAGCTCATCCGTTTCAAACAAAGGCGGATCGTTCTGGGAAGGAGCCATGCTTGGAGGATCTCTACATCTGCTCTTACACGCCGACACTTTCGGCTCTGATCAGATCTAGACAGTTGATGAAGAAGCGTGTGTCTCCGTCCTTTGTGGCGATCGGACAAGGTAAACCGAGTGCAGGGAAAGGCAAGGCACTCTTGGCTGTCGACAGCGAGCTCGAGCTTGTCCATAAGCTCGTCCCTGCGACTGCCAACCGCACCACTATTTCTGGCGACGCAGCCACACGAGCAGGTGCACTCGAAGCTTTGCAGCAGAACACCTGGGTGCACCTAGCTTGTCATGGGAAGCAGGACCCTAAGCAGCCTTACGATTCGCATTTTGTCATGAGAGACGAACATTTGACGCTGCTCGATATCATGGAAATACATCTTCCGCAGGCCGAGTTCGCGTTCTTATCGGCTTGTCATACTGCCGTCGGCGATGAGGAGACGCCCGACGAAGTGATCCACCTCGCAGCTGGTATTCAATTTTCGGGGTTCAAAAGTGTCGTTGGCACGCTGTGGGAGGTCGACGACTCTGTTGCAAAACATGTCGTCGAAGCTTTTTACAGGTATATGTTTGGAGATTTGAAGGACGGTGGTGTGATGAACTGTACGAAGGCGGCCTGGGCACTGAACTGTGCTACGCACGCGGTGAAGACGAAAGTACCGCTCGAACAGAGGATGGTTTTTGTTCATATTGGTGTGTAGTCCTACGTCGTATTACTGTCGTTTGGTACATATTCACGAGTTGTCGATCTTTTGTCCCGTTGGTGTACCTGGTCTCTTCTTTGATACTTGCTTTGCATCCCTCTCGTACTATTGTCAACTCTTGGAAGCATTCATTCATTGTTCGAAGGTTCTTGAGAACCAGGTTATTTTCGTCCACTAATTCCAACAACACGGGGTGTAGTCAAAAACTTATGAGACCTGACGCCCTCCCAGACCATGCATACATTGACAATAAGCTGGGGATCAATCACGAGCTCCAGGTCCTCCATCTCTTTCGTGACACGGGTATTTCATACGCACAAATTCAATAGACAAGATTCAGAATGCGAACAAAAAAGACCCACCCAAAGTGCTCCTTGCTTTGAAATTCCACGACCGGTGCAGCGTCCGATGCATGATGAAATGATGTAATTGTAATTGATGTCGATGACAGTGCGTCACGTAAGCAACAATTACATGAATAGAAATTTAACTTTGTTCAGTAAGGTGGCCGCCTGGCCTCTTCACCTGGTGCGAATGATATCGTCCCACAGTGCTTGGTTTGATATAGATATGTGGGGAATATTTGCGGCAGCGGTCACAGCTTCCTTGTCCTTCACCGAATAAGCACACAGTTGGTTGCATCCTCGCTTTTCAAGTTGACATTCTTTTCTCATTCCTTCGTCCAGGCAAGATCATCCTCCCTTCGTTATCAGCTCAATTGGATGAATTATTCGGTTCTTCTTAGCGTGCCATCTTCAGTGGTTTTAACATTGTTTGCATTACCATACGAAATACACTCGATTCTACATCTTGCCTTGGTGTGCTGACTACTGAGTTGTACGATACAAGTCCAACTCTGAGACTTGTACCCCCCCGGCTTTGACCTTAGCTGGCCACTTTCGCCGAGGTATCCTCCCTCTCAGCTGAATTCTATCCACATTCCCCATATCTTTGCCCCCGTCCTTCCTTCTCACTAATTCCGTAGCCCACTCAGCCCATCCTCGATCCTCATCAATTTGCTCTATCCACCATCATGCCTAGTAGCTCAGAAAGCCGGTATATCAGACTGGAAGGCGAGTCCCTCCGGACCACCTTCGTATCTGTTATCATCCTCACACAATATCTACAGTCATCAGGGGAAATAATTTTCAGGTCCCCTCCTGCCGCATTCCTGCTGGCATCTACGTATCCATCAATGTCGACTCCAGGAGGCGCTGGAAATCACCCATCAGTGTCTTATCATCTGACAAATCTGTAGTTTGGGGGAATACTGTCACTCTGTAAAGTCCATAAATACTTTCTGACGCGATGCGAGAATTGATTATCGGTTATAGATCATCACACTCTTCACCTGCGTTGTCAGTGGAGATCAGGGCGTCCTTTGAGCTTGGTCGAATGCTAGGCGGTGGAGAGGTCATTGGCGAACTTCAAATGTCGTGGGATGAGCTACTTGATCATGGAGATGAGCCATTTGGTGAGTGGTTCGCTTCTCATTTATGCACATACACTAACGTCTCGTAGATATATCCTTCCCACCCGTGTTCGGTGTCCACCCTTCTCTTAAGCTGAAGGCCGCCATTGTGCATGCTTGCGACGATCAGGACGACGCACTGATTGATGTGAGTGACGCTGGTATCTGTCCTGTTAGCTTTTGCTGACAGAACGCAAACTACAGTCCCTCGTAGACTGCGAGATTGCTCGAGACACAGATGCGGGCCACGCACAATTTGCCGCATACGCGACAAGCAAGACAGTCTCTCACTTGAACGACGCTGTAGAGCATTTTCAGTTGGTTCTGGACCAGTGTCCGGTCGGCCATCCAGACCATGCAACGGCTCTCACCAACCTTGCGTGGGCCTGCCTTCAAGGCTACATCCGAAATGATCTTGAAGACATCGATGTCACCACTTCCCTCTTCCGCGACGCCCTTGCATTGCGTCCGCAGCACCATCCCGATCATCCATTATCCCTATATCATCTCACCCAAGCGCTGACTCGGCGCCACAACAAGAAAAGGACTGCCGCCGACATCCGGGAGGCGGCCCAACTCTATCATGAACTACTGCCTCTCTGTGCAGAGGGCACCTACCTTCATATCATTGCAGCAGGGAAGAATGGTGTCGATTATGTGATCGGCGGATGCAGCAATCTCCCAATAGACGCATCTGATGAGGGTATCCACCTTCGACAAGTCGTCCTCGAGCTCTGTCCTCTAGGCCATCAACTCCGTCTCACAGCCCTCGACAGGCTTGCACAAGCAGTTGAAGCACGCTTTCATCAGCACGGCAGCATTGATGATCTTGACACGAGCATACAGCTTGGTCGTGAAGCCGTGTCTCTGTGCCCCGAGGGACAAGCTGACCGCGGTATCTACCTGAACAACTTGGCCGTCTCACTCGCGTCGCGCTTCAATCATCAAGGCAAACCTAATGACCTCGATGAGGCCATCTCTTTGCACGAAGGAGCGTTGCGCCTGTGCCCTGTTGGGCATCCAATCTCGTGATTTCTCTTTGGACAACCTGGGGGACGTTCTCGTCAAACGTTTCAACAAACGCGGCGACATTGATGACATCACCCGAGCTATCAGCCTCCGTCGCGAGGCACTGACGTTGCGCCAACCTGGGCATCCACGTCGTGACACCACGCTCAGCAACCTTGCCCTCGCGCTCCACACCAGATATGGCAAATCCCATGTTAGGGAGGATCTTAACGAGGTCATTGATTTATATCGCGAATCCCTTCGGTTAAAGCGTCTTGACCATCCAGAGCGCCATAAAACTCTTCGCAATTTGAGCTCGGTGCTCTGCTCTCGTTTCACGCAAACTTCAGAAGAATGAAGATGTCGAGGAGGCCATCACTCTTTGCCAAGGATCATTGGCGGCTCTGTCTTCACTGCACCCGGGCAGGTGTCTCAGCTACAGGTGGCTGCAGGAGGCCTATTTGTCTCGTTACCAGAGTCTACATGACCCTGCTGATTTGTCACTAGCTATAGAGAACTTCAGACTCGCATCAAGACATCCTACTCAAGGATTTCCTCGTCGTATCGAAGTAGGCTATTAGCTGGGCTCTTCGAGCAGAGGTCTATCAACATGAGTCTGCCCTAGAAGCATACCAAATGTGCTTTGAACTTTTCGACGGCCACGTGATGACGCGATCGTCGGTCATCTCACGGCGTGAGGCTGCAGCCGCTGTTCGCGGTGCACGATCACTTCCTGTAGATGCAGCCTCATGTGCCATACGTCGTGACAATATACGACTAGCAGTTGAACTTGTGGAGCAGGGCCGTGGCCAGCAGTGGTCGCTGGCATCTCGACTCAGGACTCCAGTCGAAGACCTCGAGTCGGCAAATCCGAAACTGGCGCGCAATTATTTAAAGCTGAGCAAGCGCATTTCCAATGCAGCCCAGAGTTCTGCAACCAGTCACCGACAGAGCTGCTGCTGATCGGGAAGCAACAGAGTATAGGATACTTACAAGGCAATGGGAAGCCGCGGTAGCTAAGATACGCGATCTTCCGGCGTTCTCGCGGTTCCTGCTTCCACCCTCATACGAAGACCTCCAAGCGGCAGCCCGCCAGGGCCCGGTCATCATCCTGATTGCCAGTCAATACTCGTGCAGCGCCATCATCGTCCCGACGTCAGGAGACCCTCATCATGTTACTTTGCCGTCCATCGGTCTCGCAGATCTGAATACTCTCAAGGATCGCTTCGCCAGGGCAATACGAGAAGCATCTCGGATGAACCCAGGGGAGTCGAGGGCGGATCTCATAGTGCTCTCGCGGATAATATGGGATGAGATCATGCTACCTATTGTCAACGTGCTCGAGCATGTCCTGAAACTAAAGCGCCGCTCTCGAATCTGGCTGTGTCCGACTGCAGCTTTCACGTCCATTCCTCTTCATGCAGCTCATCCGTTTCAAACAAAGGCAGATCGTTCCGGGAGGGAGCCATGCCTGGAAGATCTCTACATTTGCTCTTACACGCCGACACTTTCGGCTCTGATCAGATCTAGACAATTGATGAAAAGGCGTGTGTCTCCGTCCTTTGTGGCGATCGGACAAGGTCAACCGGGTGCAGGGAAAGGCAAGGCACTCTTGGCTGTCGACAGCGAGCTCGAGCTTGTCCATAAGCTCGTCCCTGCAACTGCCAATCGCACTACTATTTCTGGCGACGCAGCCACACGAGCAGGTGCACTCGAAGCTTTGCAGCAGAATACCTGGGTGCACCTAGCTTGTCATGGGAAGCAGGACCCTAAGCAGCCTTACGACTCCCATTTTGTCATGAGAGACGGACATTTGACGCTGCTTGATATCATGGAGAGACATCTTCCGCAGGCCGAGTTCGCGTTCTTATCGGCTTGTCATACTGCCGTCGGCGATGAGGAGACGCCCGACGAAGTGATCCACCTCGCAGCTGGTATTCAGTTTTCGGGGTTCAAGAGCGTCGTTGGCACGCTGTGGGAGGTCGACGACTCTGTTGCAAAACATGTCGTCGAAGCTTTTTACAGGTATATGTTTGGAGATTTGAAGGATGGTTGTGTGATGGACTGTACGAAGGCGGCCTGGGCACTGAACTGTGCTACGCACGCGGTGAAGACGAAAGTACCGCTCGAACAGAGGATGGTTTTTGTTCATATCGGTGTGTGATTCTACGTCGTATTGCTGTCGTCTGGTACGTTATTAATCTGCGGTCTCTTTCATCCTCTTGTACCAATGACCTGATACGTTCTTGCGTTCTAGCTATCTCGTTTTCGTATACTCTGTCTCTGTCGTGTTTTTGTCGACTAGAATGCGCACCAAAGTTCTTGTGTACTTGACTCATTTTGCAACTTCGTCTGCTACTTGGGTACTTGGATAGTGGGAGTTAAACCAGTCGAACATACCCGCGCCTTCCAATCATACCAGGGGATTTTTCAAGTTTCGCCCCTTCTGCACTATGTAACTAACCACTGCCAATGTAGTCAATGCCGAGTCGAGTCAGAAGCAAATACTGGCTGGCTGCTTCGACTTGTTGTGTACTGCTTGCCAATGAAGCATCCACCCAGTATGTGTTGTGTGGTGCATACGACACGGTTCTTTTTATGAGTTATCGGCCTTGCTCAATGCTCACGACGAGTTGTTGAAGGTTGTTGATCGTGAGGTCAGAAGCAGGAGTTTAGCATGGAGATGGTAAGTAAGAGTCCGTTTCTACTTTGTTCGGTATATGGCCATCCCAGCTAGCCAAGGCTATAGTGTAAATCATCGGAGTAGGGCTGTAGGTTTATTTCTAAAGAACCAATCTTTGCATCTTCTAACGCGCGTCACAGCACCAGATACCGTTTATCCACGATAAGTTGAAGGCCTCCGGGGGTCCATGCAGTCCTGTGAACCACGCGATTTCCTTTGATGACAAAGTCAATGCGTGAACATAACTCTTTTAAAGACCTACCGACCTTTAGGATGCTGCTTCAAATTTCAGTAACGCGCCTCGTCCGAGCTCCAGAATGCAAGTGCTAAGTGGCTATACCTTGGTTGAGGGTATTGCCAAATTAGACTTCTCACGCAATCTCATGGATCAGGCGTCCGAGGATGCTCATGGATGTATCGTCCTCCTTGGATGCCCGACGTCCACCCAAACGCGACGCCCAAAGCGGTTGCTGGGCTGAACAAAGAATAATACTCTCTCCCAAGCCTGACCTTGACCGCAACCAGATCGTATGGGCTATCTTCTGAGGTTGTGATCGACTCAGCAACTTCTCGTTCGAAGGTATGAGAGCCGGAAACAAGGAAATAGTCCCGCAAGGAGTACATATTCAATTCGATGGGATAAACGGTCAGGTCCACCTCTACGATGGAGCGATCGCTTTCGGAGGTTTTTACCACATCTTTATCGAGCGCCCTGATTTCGTTGACGCGTTCTTCGCATATCCAAGCCTCGATCATCGCAATAACGGGCAAACTTTTGCGGATCTCGCGTACATCTTGATTGCCTTGGGTTTGATCATCAGATAAGACTTTATAAATACGCAGGACAAAAATCTGACCGAGAGCAGAACGCAGCATGCGGCAGTGAACACGGTGGCCAGATTCCCAAGCTTCCTTCTGGCAATCTTTTGAGCAGTAACGTGTCAGCATGCACCCCGAACAACGATATGCTGTGACATCGTCTTCAGAGAAATTGAGAGAGCACTGATATAAAGCATTTTAGTTGGCGAAGATAAGCGGACCGTTCTCGAACGCACTTTCGGGCTACAACATTGATACCGGTAGAAAGGAGCTCCTTCAGGCAGCTCGTGGAAATTGGTGAAGGTACGGGCCGCGGAGTCAACAGCTTGCCATACCTCCCATAATACAGGGTCTTGGGATGCTCGTTCTTCAAGGCCTAGCCGATCTAATCTTTGAAGGGCGGGTTGAAGAACCCGTAGCACTTTTGAGAATACGAAGAACCGGGGAAGCTCTTTGAGCAATTGAATGTCATGATCATCATCAAAGCGTTTGGTGTTGTCAACACGTTCAGCTCGCGATGACCCAGTCCGTAGGAGACATTCGAGTAGACCATGCTGAATGGCCTGAGCTATCACCAAAGCAGAGTCATTTGCGCAATTCATTGAATACCCGATATAGCGATATGCTATATATAACACTCTGCGTCGCGCCGCCAGCCCTATATCTGGTTCATTATCGGAACTATTCCAAGCAGGGGTTAGGAGTCGTTCCCAGAGTGTTGCGATAGCACTTAGAACAGTACGAATTGAGCCGATTTGGAGGAGCAATTCGTGACAACCGCCCTCTCTATCGCCCAATGATTGCATGAAGAGGATGGCTTGAGCCAAACCAGTAGCACATACTGTCATGGATGAGAAATCAACGTTTTCCCTTGCTCGTAACCGAGGTTCTGGCATATTAGACACCTCTTTAGTCATACGACGAATATACCGGAGGGCTAATGAGGCCATGGGGAGGGTTCCGCCGGCAACAGAGGAGATGATGGATACTGGCAGAGACGCAGGGGTGTCTTCCATGCAAATAACGCTGAGCGAGCACATATTCGCACGTATCAGTGCACTGAGATTCTTGTCGCCTTCTCGAAGAGGATCAGCGACGTCATTACTCTTCAACCCATCGACAATGACCCAAGCCCGGAAGAAGAATGCCTGAACAGTGGGGTTCGTCCTCATCAACTGCCTGCCAATTGTTGTGAATTGACACAAGGTTGATAGTGGATGTATGGTAATCCTAAGGGCTTCGTAAGTGCTAACAGACAGGCCATGTGGGAGGGCAGCAGGTCTTTGCGAAGGTGGGAGGAAGTTGTTGCTGAAGAACTGCATCCACGGGAAGAGCATCTCCCACTTTGAAGCAACAGCGTCATGGACAATGCGTTCTCCAATACTGATATTGCTGCCGAGGTTATGACAAATTTGTACAATGCCACCCATGGACCACTTGGCGAGCATGATCACTGGTACAACATCAGGACTAATTCTGTCTGGAATAGGGTATGCCTCCAGTTGTGCGTGAAAGACGGGAAGCAAAAGTGGCGTGACATCCTTGAGTTGATTGAGACTACCAACGACATCTCGGAGATCTTCGACTGAGCCACGCAATGCTCCATCAATTTTACGCTGTAACAGCGAGAAATAAGGAATCAGGGTTGTCATACTTCTTGAACAGAATCAAGCATACCTGCATCAACCGAGGCAGAGCCCTGAGAGCTTCCCTATCCCGTGCGTTAATTCTGGGCGCCATGAGTGAATAGTGGTATCGGTCATCGATGGTATCAACATAGCATTGTACATAAGCATTTCCAGATCTAAATTTGTAATATGGACCAAACAATGTTGTCAGCCTTGTGGCGGTGCCACCATAACAAGACAACAAGACAACAAAAAACCGAAAACACAAAAAAAACAACACAAATAAGTCGATTTACTAGACTTGCGAAAGTTACTCGATATCCAACGGGATCAGTGCTAGTTAATTGTCGCATATTCTCAATTGTCAAACTTCGTTTCTTCACTATTTCCATCGCCACCGCCGTTACCGGTGTCACAGTGTGGGCTTTCTGTGGCGTGCATTTACTCTGAGCGCCAACACGAGCCCATACAATATTGCAGCATGGAACGCCACACCACCGTGTTATGATCCTTTCAAGTCTGCTTATTATTGAAGCGTGGTACGCTTTCCCTTCTTTTCTGGGCACTGATTCTGTGTTGTCTTGGGAAGAGCATCAGTGTCGTGGACCCCTGGTGTGTTACGACGAGCTGAAGGCAATAAATGGTGTTCTGGAGTGATTTTGTTTCTCCATCTTTAATGACCTCCATCTAGCTCGTAATGTTATGTAGGTCGCCAACTCTTCCGGAGCGTCTGCTGCAGTTGGGCTGATTACCTTTTGCCACAGGCACTATATAATTCTTCTGAGAATTCTGCAAACATATATATATGGTACAAGGACTACGCATTACGCATTCCTGATACTAATGTGCACCTTGAGAAACGTGTTATCACCTATGGCAATTGCATCGTCTTCTACCATCGTCAATCGGAATGCTTTGATATAGTACACGCGTGCAAAACTCGTTACAAAACAACATGACATACCCATACATACAATACGAATCGGCGATATGTCCGCTGGAACAGTAACAGTACAAGAAACAGAAAGAAGGTACGTAGCCAAATCGTTGGATAATATGAGAAAAACAATACCTCCTAGTTCAAGGTCGGCGCCTCTGCATCAGGCGCAAAGCGAAGTCGTGCAAGGAGTATGGTATCCCAGATCTTGTGCATCCGCGATACCTTACTCGTAAAGTTGATCCGCGCGGGGAAGAACTCTTTGCCTTCAGACTTGACCGTGAAAGTGCCCCATGGATGATTCGCTCTACGAGAAGAGAAAACGTTGAAGTATGCCTCCCCTGACAACGTGGGATCGGCCACAAAGAGAGCGTAGTCGCGCGCGTTTACGGTGCCCGTAACTGTGAAACAACGTTACTCGGACTAAGCTAGGGAGGTAGACGTTGACATGCACGTACCAAGAAAGACGTCTTCTTTCTGGATAGGGTGATTCGGTGCGTATTCTTGCAGTATCACTTGTATGTTATCTTTAAACCACTGTGAAACTGCGGGAAGACTGCCATGGGAGAAGTCCCGGATTTCGAACGACTCAGCGTAGACCGCAGCTGTCTTCTTACCAGCTTCCAGGGGAAATGATTGCCTACGAGATACGTTCTCGCCGCTGCAAGTATTCAGCATAAAACATACAGCCGTAGGCATAAGTAAAACTTACTCGTGACGGTTCCCGCCGAATTTGAATCTGCTCAGCATACTCGAACCATTGTTATGAACACGACGTGCCTTCCCGATGTTGATGTTACCGTAATCCCGCAAGGAAGGCATACATTTTGCCACGTCGCCCTCGGCCTTCTTCTTTCCTCCAATCTCAATGACGTTGCAGAGGGTTATGAACTCCCCGTCAGGTTTGGATACATATCCCACAGCACCCACCTCAATAGGTGACGGATACCAAAGAGGCGTCGTGACTAGAAAGCAATGAGTATCAGCGCACACGATCGCATTATAATGGTGAACAAAGCTATAACTTACACAGATCTCCATACCCGTGGCTGTCCTTGGCTAAAAGCCTGTAGCGCCTCTCGTCTCGCATAGCACGT